AAACTGGCATGGAATGTTGACCAGGAGGCAGCAGATAATTCTTCCAACTACTGCATCTCTCTGTTCAAAGCAACAATTTATTCTTTACTATTAAAAAAAATCATCTTGAAGAATGAGGGCTATTTCTTAGCTGTGATTATTACCTCTTGGCTCATATACTCTGACAACCAGAGGTATTACACTATGAAATTCTTTTTCCACATGATGGATTTCATCAATTGCTCTCTAGCAGTATCTAAACTATCATGTTACACCAACCAGAGATCATCTTAACTCTGAAAGACTTGGAATTATGAAAAGATTTGGCATCATTTAAAAAGTACTTCAATGCAGTTCATTGCCTTCACACTGCTGGTTTTTTCCTCTACACACAGACAACACAGGGTCACATGCCCATATTCAAAGGCAAAAATCAAAGAACCAAACACTTTCTGGTATTGTTCTAACACAATTTCAAAACAAAGGGCCCACATCTTGGGAAACATGGAGTGAAACCAAAGGGAACAACTGCAGCCTGCTCCCAAAAGCAGTGACTTTCTGAAGTTGAAACCAGTACAAATCCTTTATGTGTTAAATGGACAGAAATTACAAAAATATTTCTTTCTTCGTTAACCTAAATCACAGAGTTTTCCAACTCTGTCTTTCATTAGGAATGAAAAACAAAGAAAATATGCTGCAAAATCTAAAAAAAAGTTATTCTACAGATATAGAAAGACACTTGGATACACCTTGGTTTACTAAAAAAAGTCTGTGATGGCAAATAGTTAATCAAGATAAACCCCACCTCATATCAATTGCTGAAGAGCTTTTGGCAGTAGCATCCAAAACAATTGTCACAAATTGTGATGATGAATGTTCCTATAGAGGCTTTTAACATCACCATCTTGAGCCTCGCACAGCTAATGCATATTTTACAAACTAGAATATATTTTACTAGTTTATAATGTATAGCAAAACAAAGAGAATTATGCATTCCCTGACTGTAAGTAACCATGTGCTCCTTATGTCTCTGAAATAGTGTGCAGGATAATCTTAGAAAGTCTGAAGATATATAGTCCAAAGGTCTGACTCTGCTTTAACTTTTCCCATGAAGTTTGAATTAGACAATGATACTGGCTGTGAGAATTAAGTACAGCAGGCAAAGCCCATCTCTTAATGCAGTAACAACAGATTCACTCAAATAAAAAAAAACAACAACAGAAAAAAAACATTAGTGTGGGTACTTAGCAGCTGTTTAATATAGACACAAAATTTGCAAATCATAACACTTAAATAATGACTCATAAGTTGAGAAAAATAAGCAAAACCAGTTAATATTTTAACCCTGCCTAATGTAAGAGTTCAGTGATTTTTTTAAATTGCAGTAACATTATTTCTTGTGTCAAATTTAATAGCTTAAAAAACCTTTCATTCTGCATAGACGTTTACCTACATTATTCATTTCTAAAACTGATTTTCAATTCAGTAACACGTTCACTTACCAGTAACATATTTGATTATAAAATTGAGCTCCTAAATATTCTCAAAGCAAGCCACAGACTTTCATCCATGGTTTTAAAATCAGGAAGTCTCATGGTATTATGATTCTGAAGTGTAGGATTGACTATTAAGAACATGCCTGACCAGCAGCACATTGTTGATATTTCTACAGTCACACACTATTGAGAGTTGGTTAGATAGTAGATTCAATTTCTGTTTGGTTGTGCTTTTTTTTGCATTTTGTTTTATAACCTACAGAACGTCTGCACCATGCCCTCATAACAGACTCCCAGCAAACTGGACAAGGAAAATAAAGAAGATGAAAACGGTATACTCCACTTTTCAACTTCATCCTGCTAGAAAATGGGATGTTGCAAAGACCACTTATTTTCTTACCTAAGGGTTCTCTCCATCATGAAATCTGCCATAGGGTGAAGGAGAGAAACAGTCCGAGGAAACTGAAGGAACAAGGCCAAAAATTGTAGTGCAGTAACACACAATAGGTACTTGAAGATTTTCTCCCAGTGGATCAATAAACAAGTTCTTAGTAATACACATCTTCCCTATAAGCTCTAAACAAAATTAAAACCTATCCATTTGTCTACCCAAGAAGACAAAGATCCCTCTTATTTTCCCACTTAAACAATCTTTGCTGTGTTGGCTTGATTTTACCCTTCTCTTAGGGATGGTGTTTCTGTTACTATTTCAAGTAGATATGCCTCTTCCAAAAGGGAAATTATCAGGGTAACAAGGCTGTCGGTGCCTCCCAGTATGCCCAGGGCACTTTACAGACTACAAAGGAGCTAAAAAAAAAGGAACGAAAATAATCTTCAAGTCCTGACATGTCTAAGATACAGCACATCACACGTCAGATGCACATGACTGTACACTTGAACTAGCTTTTATTTTGTTGCAGGGGAAGAGATAGTAAAAATAAATAAATTTGTTTCTACAGGCACCCTGAGGCACTTGGACAAGCTGTTACTAATCACTCCTTTCTCTGCTTTCCCACCCCCTAACCTGCTATATATTCTCTAATTTTAAGCATACATTTAAAACTGATTTGTCATTTTAGCTACTCCACAGGATAGATTAGGATCCTTCATAAGACCTTTTCATTTACTGAACAATCAAACAAAATAAAAGGTTAATAGTTCAAGAATAGCTACAAGTAAAATGGACCCAAAGTCATTCCTGGTATAACCTCATTAATTCATGGACTCAGCTTTTATTGCCTGCTTTATACATAGCACCTCTGAAGCAAATAAAGCATAAGGACTTTCAGGAGATGTCATATATTATGATGAAATATATCAGAATAATTCCTTTTTTAAAGCACATTCCTCTGTCTCAACTTCATGATTTAAATAGGACACAGTAAAGAGTAAATAACATATATTACAAGAGTAGCAGTCTGGCTTGCTTCCTTTGAGCATAGGTGACATTAGGTTAATTGGTTTTAATGCTGGGGTTAAATTTCTGTAAATTCTGTTCTTGTTGGTATTATATACCTGCATTTACCGTAATACAATTTACTGAATTAAGAAAACCGTTGAAAAAATCTGAATTAACTATGTTTTCCTGTGTGGGAAGAGGAAGGTCAAAGACATACCAAGTGATGCTGAAAGCCTTCAGGGCACCAGGAAAAGAAGCTGCATCCCATTATGACAAAACAAAACAAAAGTAGAGATAAAAAAAACAAAACAAACAAACAAAAAAAAAATCCCAGACACCACTTTAGGCAAACTGTGCTCTGTGAAAGGATAAGAGAGGGCTAGAATCAGACCTTGCTTGCCAGCAGGCAAAGTTCAAGTGCTCACTGATGTAAGGTCACATTGAAATATATTGCATTTGAGATGGAATCTTCAGTGATTTAGTTGAACTTTATGTTCCAGATGTCTTCATGTAAAGGTGCACTCCTGTAACACTTAGGAGCTGTGACAGACACGTTTTATAACCTCTGTGCTTCTGTAAAGGCCCTTGCAGGAAAGGATTTAGTACAATGAAGATTTTTCCGTGTTTTCACATTTGCTGTAGAATTGTTTTTAGACATATTTTTTCAATAAGAAGGCACACCTGTTACATCAAAATGCAAGAAAACTGGGTTTATTTCCAAGAACCCACTGTGCTGACAAAAGGTTAGTTGCACAAATCAGTTTGACAAATACCAAAACTTTTGAAGCCTGATGTCCTTTGCATAATGCCCTGTACGATGCATTTCATTCTTACAAGGTACTGCAGATGGAATAAGCACTTTTGTGATATTTGGTTAGTCAATACATTTGAGAAGGGAAACATGGGCAAGAAATGGTCAAATAGCATTATTTACAAGGGTGTATACCAAGAAACTTCTCCCAAACATACTGTCTCAGGGGCACAGGTGGTGGTTCCTGCCCTATTCTTACAAAACACTGCTGTGTACTAACACTTATGAGGCCTTTACTTATTAATAATGGAGGCCTTTGGGCATCCACACTTCAGCAACTTTCACTCAGGCAAAAATTTATTAACTTCAGCATGCAGCTTCCTAGCATCTCTCTGCTAGTCCTTGCAGGAGCAGTACTATCACACTCTCTCATCACACAGGTAGTTTGATAAGGATATCATCACGGGGAGGATATAGACATGGAATCATAAATTATTTTTTCTTCCAGATAGAGAAGGTCAGGAGGTATTACAAATGTGGGATATAGAAATGAAGGATACCTACTCAAAACCCCTTTGTTGCAGTTTCATTACAGAGCATGTGAGGAATAATGAAAAGACAGCTATATTTCTTTGGTCTACTGACATAAACAGTCAAGAAGATAGAAATTTTATATAGCAGGGAAATTTGCAGGGCATTAAACTATGTTAATGAAAATAAATTAAAAGTATAAAATTTTAGGTTAAATATTGCAAAATTGGCAGTTGGTCATATCTATTTTACAGCAGAACTTTGTCATTTGGGACACGTAAACTAGCATACCAAAGCCAATAAGAAGTTTTGGAAACAGATATTAATTATATTATTTAATATTTTTAGAATAATCTCAATTCTTAGAGCACATGAAAATGAAAATAGGGCCCAGTTAGCAGTACCAATGTTTCTAATATTTGCCATTCTTTTTGCAAACAGCTTAGTCTGGAAAGTTGAAGTCCTCTGAATATAGACAACACTATTAATCATATATTGTACCTTGAGATGGATATCCATCCCTTCCCTCCTTCACACAGGTTGAGAAATCATTAAAGAGAACAAAGCAGAAAGGCACAGCCTGTCAAACTGCACAGCACTAGAAAGGTTATCACACTGCTGTTGCCAACTTCTGTCTTTTCCAGCCTATATGACAGATGAAAATTTTCATTTTTGTGACAAAAGTGGTAATGAGGATAGAAAATGGCACAATATGAATCCAGCTTTCTGACAGAACTCATAATGAGAATCAGAATTGTGCAAAATTAATCTAATCCCATCACAGTATTAAAAGTCAACTCACAGGGGACTTGCTTATACCTATCATTCCCTTTATGTTCTCTAGGAGCACAAACTTATGTGGAAAAAAGATGCAAAAGCAGAATTTGGAGCTAAAAAGGGTTGCACTACCATAAAATAATGTGGAGACTGATAGAAGATCAACTTCAAGCCTCAGCATTGTAAGTAAATGCATACTAGTACAAACATTTTTTCACACACATAAGTGACAAAACACAACTGGAAGGTAGATTTCCTCTGATCTAGAAGATGGACTATAAACTGGCGTTAACATTTGGAGACAGATGTACTAACATCCATTTAGTAACTTTGCTCCTGTTAGACAGCAATGCTGTGCAGTATTCCTTAAATAGCAATATACTATTTTTAATCATTATTTTTAAAGATACGCAGACTTTCCAGTTTACCTTTGAGTTTTTAAAAGCTCTTTTCAGAACTATCACCATCTTTTTTAATCAGCTGTTGCAAATGATATCTCAAAACTTAAGTACATGAAAATCAGTTCTGTTAACAATGTTTAGTTTCTAGGAGTTGAAGAGTATAGTTTCTAAACAGTGTATACAGAAAACACTGTAAACAAAAATAATGCAAAATTAGCTGGCAGACAGATCACTAGGCTCAGAAATTTTATTATTTTGGGGAATAGTCCCAGTTATTACTGGAGGAATTCCATTTCATATGCTTCCCTCAGTATGGAAACCTTTTGCTTCAGATATGTAAAAATATCTAGGATAAAATATTCTCCCTCTCATTACTTTCCCTCAGTCTCATTATTCAACTGATATTGAAAACACACATGGAATTACAAATTAATCCCTTCTTAGTTAAAAAAAAAAGGCAGAAGACTAGGTTTACCTTTCATCCTAACAAGCTGCATCAGGCAGATGTAAATATTAGTCAGTCTACACAACAAAAGAGGTAGCAAGCAAGTTTGACTCCTGCAGTCAAAAGTAGCTTATTAGACTAGACTGAAAGTTGCAGAGATTCATCCAGTTACACAGAAAGAAATCACACAGGGCTTGTCTGGAAGCATAAGTGGGCCACTTCCACTCAGCACATTCTTCACACGTGGAAAGAGCTGCTACTTCAATGGATTGTAAACTCCTAAGTGTAATTATTGAAATATATCATTTCATAGATACTAAAAAAATCAAATTTCTGTAAGATCTTTACAGGACTGAAAACTGAGAGTATATATGCTGGAACAAATCTAAACAAATAAACATCTACATATATGTAAGACAAGATCTTTAATGACTAAGTTATGACAAAACCAAGCATAACTCATTGTTTCATGACCAAGCACAGTTCATGTTTCCATCTTTTACTTTTGCAAAATTTAGCACTATACAGGTAAAATCATGTTGAAGAAAGCATTTAACTTTACACAGAAGATTTAGTCCAGTGGATATATTATTAGGAAAAGAAAACCACATCAAATTATTTTTAATGGGCTTTTGTTAATCTGTTATTTGACTAAAGTGACAATCACTGAAGTAAACATCATATGTATTTTCAAAATCTAGTATGCCTTTCCTCTTGTAAGAGCCCCATGTGCCTAGTGCAAGGTAATACTTTTTTCTTCAGGGAATAACATATCTCCAAATATAAAATACAAAAGAAAAGGCCCAAATACCATACTTTCAGTTATTTTTCTCTACTTCAGAAGACACTATTTCTGTGATTCCTCCCTGAACCATAGTCACTCATACATTTCAAGGCTACAAATTACCAGAAAAGCGAACTCACGGGCACAAAACATCTTTGCATACAAGAAGGATTCAAATTGTTAGAAATATAAACACTGATTTTATTATGGTGGATATACCCTTTAAAAACAGTAAGATGCACAAAAACTGACAGCAAACGGCTTATTTACAACCCTACTGTAACGGTAACAAAGCATTCCCTCAGCTGTATTGCCAAAGTTTTGAGAATCTAATTAATTTTTGCAGTAGTAGAAGGTTCAAAAAACAATAAAAGTAGCAGACATGGAAGGAAGAATATAAGTAACAGTGATATTATGTGTGTTATTAACATCTCTCTGAAGACTTAGAAGCCACTTGCAGTCATATGGCTGGGAAGAAACAGGTGCAGAGCAAATCTCATGAGTTATGTGAAATCTATGCTTATGTGGAGAAGATGCCTGACCTAGCATCCCATCACACCCCTACTTCAACTAACAACTGTTTAAAAGCTTTGTTTCCCCCTTGCTTGCACCTGTACAATCAAGGAGCTGGACTCCTACTTCCTAGGATATAGCAGTGGCAGGGAGGTGATTTTTTTTAGAATCTTCCTATAAAAAAATCATAAGGTTAACTTTAACAAGCATGAAGAGTGCTAATTTTTTCCACATGAACTCTTTTGAACTGCAGGAAAAGTCTTTAGATACCTTTAATAAGTTTATTGGACTCATTAGTCCTACAGAGGGAGTGCAGAAACAGCATTTCATATGGAAATGGAGAAGGAGTTATCAAAGCCTGGAAGCAACAGCCTCCAGGACATGAAAGTCTGTAACCAGTAATAGTATTGGCCTCGGAGCAAGAGGTAAACCTGAATTACTCTTCAGTGCTTCCAGAGATTTACAGGCACATGGCACAGTACAAACGAAATCTTCAAATACCCTACCCTAAACATACAGGTAGATTTTTTTTTTTTTTTGTGCCATTTACATTCCAAGATATTAAGCAACTTGTTATTGTGGCAAGATCTCATCTCATTCCTACACCAGGTTCAGTGGTATTTTTGCATGACAGAACATTGCATGCTGGGCAAAGTGAAACTTATATTAAAAGGTTAAGAACTATTGTGTATAGATGAACACAACAGTGGAGACCTCTATTTAGTGTTACTCAGAATATCCAGATTCTTTTATTATTATTTAGTTAATTCAAGGGGGAAATACAACAGTTTGAGGTGAAAGGGGCTGTAGGACACATCATATGTGTCATGCACATCCTCAGGCCTGGCATGTCATTGTAGAGTGAATGGTGGAACACACACAGCTTCCCTGGCACAACCACACCGGGACAGTTGCCAACCAAGGTGGTGAACAGTGCCCCAACCCTAAATTCCAGGGCAGGGCAAATTCCACACCTCATACTGTCCATTCTCTTTTAGGACCAGGAAATGTTAGTAAATATAAGACATCCGTAAGTAAATAAGACATCCTTTAATAAGAATAATGCATTAATAAAAACATACATTCAAGTATCAAACCATCATGGGTACCTCCACACACACCAGGACACTCAGCAACTCAAGTGCTTCTATTTTTGAGCAGTTTAGGTTATGTGCAGATGGTTAAGTAATGGGAGATGGAATAATTCTTAGAATAAATTTTACCTTTTCCTAGGAGTAAGTATTCAGTATATTTGAAAAGCATCTGAAAGCTTCACTTTGCCAGTCACTGAAGACAATGGGAGAAACCATGTAGTGTACCAGCCTATAAATCCAGAGTAACTCATCTGCCCTCAGTGCTTTTTACTGTAACTCTTCCCATGATCCTCATCTACAAATCCAGCCTCAAAGCACTCATTTCTAATTTTTTTTTTTTTTGGTGGCAAAATATGATGAGACTTTGAACAGCACTAAAACCCAACCGGTGCTACATCCCTAAAATCCTTAACCTTGGTATCATATATTGGTAAGTTAATTGAAAACTAATTTCTTCCCCTGCTTGTCATAAACCAAAATGCTCACCTCATTATCTTTACTTCTGCTACTTAGTGTCATATTTTACTTCAAAAGAGTCCATGGGCTGTTTCTGACCATCTGTTACTATACTGCATTAAAATCAAGTGTTCACTAGTTTTGGTTTCCTGCTCAAAATCTCTCTTAAAAAAATAATCATAGAACACATAGAAACACTTTGAGCATATTTTGCAAAGTTAATGTGAATGTGCATTTGTGTTCCTGAATGAACCCTTATATAAACAATTTATGCTTGCTGAATACAAAATTAATTTGTGGAGGAATAGGAAGATTTAGGATTAGGAAGAGGAAGGAAGAGGAAGACTTGGTATAGGGAGCATAAGAGAAAAACAGCTGCCTGGACAGGAGCACCTTCCTTCTCCCTCTGGTTGCTGCTGCCCTTCTATGCTTTAAGGAGGATTGAGCTGCTAATTTGCCTCAGTTTTCTCTTCAGATTTATATTGTTCCCTGTACTGAGCCTCTTGGCATAGGACAATATGACAGAAGTACTTTTGGAGACCTCCCCAGCCACTACACCAGTGCCTGCTCCATTAAGCAGTGGATGTCACACCCACAAGAAAGGCCAACATTTTCGTAGCAAGAGTTAGAAGCAAATAAAGTCTTATTAAGCTTTTCCTCCCTCAAGGTTACTATCCCAAGCTAATGACAATATATGAGATAAGTACTGTCAACCCCTGCAGGACACATTAAATTCCAGTTAATACAGATTAGATGACTACTGCAAAAATCATAGTTATAAAGGGTACAGCCCTTTTAACTATCTGGCATCCACTGCAAGGCCAGAGCAATAGCAGGTGCCTCTGTTAAAAGATGTACATCAGCAATCAAGGTTTAGATGATGAAGGTCACTTTTCTCACAGCATCCTTTTAGAGGGAAAAAAGTTCACATTTGATTACTAAGAACAAAGAACAAAAAAACAAACAAAACTATGAGATACAGAAAACATTTGAATAAGAAAAATGCTTTATAGAGAGGGACAAGAGAAATTATATGAAATAGTCTTTATATTCAACTTTTATAATTTTCTACAAGTACGACCAGGCATAACCCACAGTTGCCACAATCATGATGGATTCTTCAGAGTGTACTGCTGAAGTAGTGGGTGGAGAGTCACTTACCCTGCAAAGGCAGCAAGAAATATACTGGACAAGTAAGCTCCTGAACACACTTAATACTGGTAAGATAATCAAACTTGAACACATGAGTGATGAAGTGTCTGCACTACTACCTCTCTGCAAAAGGAAAATGTGCTCTTGGTCAGAATTGGTGATTGAAATGCTCAGATTGGCAGCAGAATCTTAGAGAAAAACATGCCAAAAAAAAATTATGCACTTACCTTAGCTGAAGGGTCCCTTAAGTTCCAGGGTATAAATTGGCAATAGAGGCTCCAAACACCATGGTGCACAGATGTTAGGAAAGTGTTCACAAAAATATGGACACAAGATG